CCTGGCCTGCATCAGGAGGAGTGTTGCCAGCAGGTCAAGGGAGGTGATTCTGCCCCTCTACTCAGCTCTGGTGAGGCCGCACCTGGAGTACTGTGTTCAGTTCTGGGCACCCCAGTATAGGAAGGACGTGGAGCTTCTGGAGAGGGTCCAGAGAAGGGCAACCAGGATGATTAAGGGAATGGAACATCTCTCGTATGAAGAGAGGCTGAGTGAGCTAGGCCTGTTTTCTCTGGAGAAGAGACGGCTCAGAGGGGATATGATTAATATGTATAAGTTCAGGAAGGGAGAATGCAGGGAGGAAGGGGACAAGCTGTTTTCACTGGCGGCCAGCGATAGGACGAGGGGTAATGGCCACAAGCTGAAGCATAAGAAGTTCCGTCTCCAGGTGAGGAGCAACTTCTTTACTGTTAGGGTGACAGAGCAGTGGAACAGGCTGCCCAGGGAGGTTGTGGAGTCTCCTACTCTGGAGGTCTTCAAAACCCGCCTGGATGCCACCCTGTGCCACATGCTGTAGGTGTGCCTACTTGAGCAGGAAGGTTGGACTAGATGATCTGTAGAGGTCCCTTCCAACCTTAAATATTCTGTGAATCTGTGAATCTGTCCTGTGTGTTTTCCTTGCTTTCTCCTCAAGATGAGAGCCTTGATGGCCTCTGTTCCTGTACCTGTCCCGCTCCCAGGGTACATGAGGCACTGAGGCCTGGCCAAATCCAGTGTTCAGCCTTATGCTGAGTTCACCTGAAGAAGTCACCTTGGAGTCTTGCCTTGCTGTAAAACTGTGGAGAACTCAGGAAGTCAAAATTGGAATTGTAGAAGTATGGAGGCTGATCAGGTGACAGGTGATGTGGCTTTTGCGCAATTTCTGCTCACACTGTAGTTATTTCTGTTAGGTTATAGTGTGCAAAGCTGCTGCTAGATTGCAACTCCATTTTTTTTAAACTAGACTGAATGGTATGTGCCGTTTTTACAATGTAATCATCAAGGGAGTCTGCAGAGGTTGTTTCAATATACCCTAGCCTGGAAAAGAGGTGTGTGGGGTTTTTTTTTGTTTTGTTTTTTTCCCTTAAACCCTGATTTACACTGTGGTGATAAAAGCGCGAACAACTTTCTTACTGATTTAAAACATATCCTGAATCACTGTTAGTGATCTGCATCGTAGTTCTGTGACCATTAATCATGTAATCATCACAAAACAAAGAGCCCCTTTCATGGAGAGCTGTTTCACATGCACAGATGCTGTATCATTCATTTTTACAGCCAAGGGACTGCATATTGCTCACTCGTACTGAGAAGTATACAAGTCATCTGTAGCCTCTGAAGCCTGTACATTTTGGGCTAATTTACTAAGGAAACAAGAATGGATTTTATTGGTATTTTCAGAGATTCATGAAGTTGCACAAATTTATACAAGTGATAGATAATCCCTGCATTTTTCCGAGCATATATGCACAGTAATATGCACAGTCTTTTGCATATTTGGTGCATAATATATATTTATTATGCAATTATTATGTATTTCACTCTATGTATTGAATTATAGCATCAAACAGGACACCTGCTATAGTGAATGTTAGACTGTTTTTGCTTAACCATGATTACAGTTCTTGTACTTCCTCAAATCCCTGTGTATCCTGAATCTCACAGCAGAACTCATTTGAAGCTCCTGGATTTTTTTTTTCTATGCAATGGTTGAACAGGATTTCTGCTACTTTCTTTTTAAAATAGCATTATATGACAGACTGCACAGATTTTATTTGTCCTTATAATAATTGGTTAGGTCTTTAATGAAGAAGGCTTCTATTAATGGATCTGTAAGAGATAGATCAACATTTTTTAGTCCATATCTTGTCTATATCACTTGTGTATAAGGTACAGAGAATTCTGTTCATGTACTGTGATTTTAATTTTGTTTTTATATATGTACATATGAAAAAGTAGAAACAGACAAAAATAAGAGATTAAAGAATATGAAGGAGGTAGAGGAAATTTTGGAATACTGATTCAGGCTCATTTGTGCTATGTAATGGTCTTGCTTTGAACAAGGCACAATCCTTTAGCCAAGTTTTGATAGCAAAATGACAATAAAAGTATCCTATAAACCTGCCATGTTTTTCAGCACTTCTTTTAGAGAAACTTGAAGCTCATTTTTGCTATCTGTTTTGCTTGATAACTTGGGCACCCTTCTTGTAGGGACCTATTACTGTGTTTTGTTGAAATACTGCTGCCACTTCTTGCAGACACGTGTTCTCCTATAGCTCCAAAACATGTTTGTATAATTAGGAGGTGTTGGTATAAATGTGTGGGAGTGGTGGGGATGAGCCAGGCCTCGCTGCACCAGGAGCAAGCGCCGGGAAGGAATTGTCTGGGTTGGTAACTGGAGAGCAAGCAGGAACCTTTTCCAAGAGAGAGCCCTTCCAAAACCTGCAGCCGTGAGGGTGCCAACCACACTGCGCCTGGCAGCGGGGATATCTGGAAAGCAAAGCACAGCACTCAAATTTAATCGCTATATTACTCAACAAAGTTTTGCTTCATGTGTTTGTCATTACTCACTTATTTTAATCTGGGAGACATTTTCTTGTTCATAGCTATTTTTAGACGTTATTGCACCATTTAGTTGTAATTGGAAGACCTGTCTGCCTTAAACACTGAGAAAATGACAATTTTGGCAGTCAAAATAAATGCAAGAAACCACTGACTTTTTCCTGTCATGACCGTAGAAGGCGGCTGGTCAAGTCCAAGCTCCAAGGCAGCTGTGCCAGCTGGCCCATGAGGCCGGGCTGAAGTCCTCACATTGGCTGCTGCTTCCATGCACGGCTTCCCCAGCAGCCCCAACCAGGGCTCTTCTCAGTAAAGTTTGCTGTAGTTATCTCTATTGTAATATAGAGGTGCAACTAGTAAGACCCTTTATCTTAAGCATTCGTAATCCCTCAGCTCACACTTTTGCATGTTGTTTGTGCTATACCCATATTCTCCATGCCTTTGGTTTCGTTAATCGTGATTCTTCATGAAATGTTGCAGGGTGTGTTGTTTAAGCAGGGACAGCACTTAATGTATGCAAGACGTTTAAAAGACATTATTTTATTTGGTGCTCATCATGACTGTGTGTTTACTTGTTAGTTTGTTTTGGGTGTTAATTTGTTGGGAGAGAATATCCTGAATCTCTGATGCATATTTTTTTGGAATATATTTCTAAGCTTCCAGCTTGTACATAAATCAGGTTATTTGCAATTTTATAAAGGCTTAAAACTTTTAGTTATGGTTGGTTTAAATTGTAACATTAAACAAAATGAGCAAATTCAAAATTTAAAGTCTTTTCCCCTAATGTCTGACCAAATTATTGGTAGTAGAAGTGGTCATTTGACAGGTTGATGGAATTATAATGGATTCCCAACACATAGCATCTTCCTATCAGTAGTTATTTTTTAATTGTTTTTGACCCAGAAGTTTATTTGGAAGTGTTGTTTTAGGCTCTCACTAGAGTGACCCGTTGAGATGAATGGAAATACAGGAGCAAAGAAATGGGATATTGTTGGGGCTGGTGGGTTCTGAGGTCTGGTGCCCATCTTTCTATCACATGGCAGCAACTTTTCCTCTATTTACCATATTCCATTTAAAAAAAAAAAAGGAGAGATAATCATCAGAGTTATGTCAAGACTCACCTTTCAGTTCTCAAATTACTTGATGGACAGTGTGTTGCATTTTCTTCTGCCTCTGCAGGTTGTTGGGCTATAATACTTTCTGAAAATTTTGAGTGATTATTGTTTAAGGTAAAGATGGAAGTGAATAAAAGAGTGCAAAAATACTTGAGAAATGTTTTAGATCGTGTGGTAAAGTTATAAGTATGTAAGATAACCTGTCCTGTACAGTGTGAGCTCTAAGACCAGCAAGATCATTATTTCCTTTTGTGCTTGGTATTTAGCTTAGCGTGGCAATGAGACCTTAATTTCCACACACTTTTTTTTTCTTTTTTTCTTTTTCTTTTTTTTTTTTTTTTTTTTTTTTTTTTTTAATCTGCCCCATAGCTTTTGGAACATTAGCCTTTCCTTAAATAGCAGGGACCCTGCTTTGAGGCAGCCTTCCTCCCTTTCCATGGTGAGGAAACTGGACAACCTTTCTATACATTGGTCCTGAAATTGCAGTATTTTATATGTAACATAATGCCTGGCCCTTTTAGGCTAGGGATTAGATAAAAAGTATGCTGGGTTGCTATTTACTCGAGATTTATTTTAGTCATTAGCTGTGTGACACTATGATAATGTTGTTATTATTTATTATTAGAAACAATAGAGACTTTGGGAAACTGCTCTTTCTTTCAGCATGTTGCAGTCATCAACCATCTTTTTGTGTTTGTCAAAGTTTGCCCAGAATTTAGAGCAAGGCTGTTAAATTATTACCAGCTGAAATAACAGAAACTCTTTCTGTAGCGCTGGATGGGATGTAAAGTACAGGAAACGGGGGAGACGAGAGAACCTTTCAGATTTGATCAAACTGGGAAGTGTCCAGAAATATTTTACTCACTTTACTTTCAAGCCTAATTCTTTTGGAGAAAGGGAAAAGAGGAGCACAGCTGTACTGTAGAAAAATATCCAAGGCTTATTGACTCAAATATGAAACTTATTATATGTTGCTTCATGCTTTTCATTTTGCATTTTATGTATATATATAAAACCTATAGTTCACTGGGATTTTTTTTGATATCACAAAAGCACAGCGTGATTGTGTGTATTGAATTTAGAAAAGTTTATTTTCTCTGTCCATTGGCTTTTTTGTTATTTGCATTGAGATTCTGTGGCTAAGTAAACAGGATCACCTGTAACATCATAGTCTTCCTCTGTGAGAAGAGTGGACACCGTTTCAAAAATTGGCTTATTGTTTCCTAAACTTTGTTTATTTTGTATTATGACATGTTAAAAACAAACAAACAAAAGCCCTGAGAACTATTATTTGGCTGAATTGTATTTTCCTCCCTAAAATTTTCTAGGGTCTGGATGCCTGCTTGTCATTCTGCACGAGAGGAGGCGCAGTGGCCTGTGAGGAGGATGGAAATGAGTGCTTGAAGAAATGACTAAGGTAAAGGTAAGAATATTGAAAAACACCTTGCTAGATTTATATATCATGTTTTATTATTTTAATGAACTTTGGGAAGACGTTTTTCTCAGGCTAAGTTGAAATTGTCTCTTTCTTGAAAAGAGACTCAGACCTAAGAAATACCCGCTCTAAAATGTGGAATGCCAGGTGAGTTCTGTGCTGTGCTTGTGACACTGATGAAGGCCGGCTGTTAATATCCACCCTTCTGAGACACAGAGGGCCAAGTGGTGGCCCATTTTACCCCTCATTTGTGTAGAGGAATACGAATGTAGTGACAGTTTCTGTGGCCAGGCAATGAAATATTGCCATGCCAATGGAATAATTCCTGAGTCTGTCTTGACCCCATTTATGAGACATAACTCAGAATTCTGAGTGACGATAATAACTAAACTTTTAATATTCCTCTGAGCCTTCCTTTGTGGCAGCTTGGCAAGTGTGGAGACTGGTGAGGCTGTTCTACCTTCAACTTAAGTTTTGGGAGCAGAAAGTAGTGGTTTGTTTTTGTTGTCAGATCTGTATAATTCTCAGAAAGATGCAGCTCAGCTGTACTGAAGGAGTGTAGCTGCTGTGTGCACATCCTTCATTAATATTAATAAACAAAGTTGAGTTCTTGGGTTGTCAAAGTTTCCTCTTCGTGTCTGCTTCCTACCAAGTTAAAACCATACTCGGAGCATGGAGTCTGCACATTCAGATATATTTTAGGAAAGAAGCCATTACAGAAGCAGAAATCTAATTCTTCAATTAATGACTAGTAGTATTTGAAGAGAGACACTGACTGTTGTAGACATGCCTTGCCTCACCTCTGGTGAGCACCAGGGTTAACACACAGCAGGAATGAAGAGTGTGTGGGGCACAGAAAATGGGAATTTGACCAAAGCTGCATTTCAGGGTGCCTCAGGTACAGGGGAGCTCTCGGGGCGGGGAAGGAAGAAGCTATGTAACTGTTGAAGAGTGGGAATTGCTTGTTTTCTATTCAAAAGGTAGTTTTAGGTGAATTGTGAATTAAGATAAAAGGAGGTTTTTGAAAGACAGGCAATCTTGGTTCTTTTTTTTTAATCCCCGGAACTTTAGCAAGAGTAGAAGAATTCTTTGTGTTAAATTCTTTGTGTTAAATTCTGATTTAATTAAAAATTTGCCCTTCAGACTGACGGATTTTTCTCTTCCTGTCCTAAACGATGGATATATTCAGGTTGTATTTCAGCATGCTTGTATTTGCATTTAAGGAGTGGATCAGTGAATTTTTGTCCACAATTTGGAGGTGCAGCATAGATTTATACTGTAACTATGTAGGAGAACGTTTGCATGCTGCCTATCTGTGGATGATGTGATGGTAGGTGTCTGAGGGAAACAAATGCTATCGCACACTTTAACTATATATTCCCTTGTATCCCCTGCTGGCAAGTTCACCACTGACTTTGTTCGACTAGGAAAGAGAAGGCGCTACAAAAGAGAAAAAATCTACAATTGATCACAGAAAGATGAACTGGAACATTGCTACAGCCAATAGAATTGAAAATGAACAAAACTCTCTCTCCTGTTTCCAGGCCTTGTGTTTTAGGGCATACATCCAGCTATTGCTGCTACCTAGTAGATCTATTTTTAATGTGGTAATTTCTAGCAGAATTTTCCCTAAAAGTGCATTTTTGATGATTGCAAAAAGCAAGTGCTGTGAGGTCTGAGCTTCCATTCTGCCTCATGTTTTCATTCGGTTGCCAATAACTGATGTGCTAGTACCTGAGAGTCAGCTATCAACGTGGGCCTTCTGCATTGATCTGTTGCAGACCTCCAGCTAAAGCCCATTGTGGTGTTGGAGGATGTGTAGATGCTTCGTAGACTGATGCGCTTTGGATGTAATTGGAATAGTCTGAAATGTAGCCATGACGTGATGCCTGGGAGGCAAACTCCTCCAACCTTAGTCACTTTGTCTTGTCTCTTATTCTTTAAATAATCCTGCTGAAATCCTTTTACGCACGCATAGCTATGGAATACAAAGCAGAAAGGTACCGCTCAGTGTGTGGAAAAGTCACCTTGTGTTTGTCATGAAATACGAAAATGCATAATCAAATTATGTATGCACAGTGAACAGGATTTGTTTCTAATTCTCTAGTGCCAATAGACCATATCTTGGTTTAATTTTAAAGGGTTAGGGTTGGTTTCTCTCCTTTGCTGTGGCTTTGTAGGCTTTCAGAATGCAAGCTGCTCTGAATGTTGTTCATCTCATAGGAGGAAAACTTCCTTTGGTCTGAGACATTTTAGTAATGTAGTTTGTGCATAATCTAGGGAGAGCACAGAAGTGTAATGGTTCTTTGTGAATGAAGAGGTTTTCCTTGAGTTTTGCCAAGTAAAATTACTTATTTGCCACTTGGGTGTGACGTGAGCTGGATATAGAACTTTGCAGATCTATGCCTTTTTATTTTAAAAAGTCAAAATGTTAAGGACTCTCTGGTCTGTTTCAAGGAGGGGGAAAAAAAAAAGGCACGATATGTTTTTGCAAATGTTCCTTCAAATAATGCCTATGGCAGAGGTTAGCATTGGGGTGTTCTAGGGTGTATTGTAGTTTCTCAGCACAGCTGATGATTTGCATGTTAAAACGAGGGTAACCTATTTGCTCTGCCTTGAGCAGTTCTGCTTGCCTGTTGCTTTATAGCAAAAGCTTGATATAGTCATATTTTTTTTTTGTATTCAAATTAAGAGCATTTTCTTCTCAGAGGTTGCGTGCAAGAAATGTGTTGGATATTCTTAAGGTAGCCCATTGCATCATGATGTGTGTTTGAAAAAGCTCAAATATTTAATGTCACTATATGAAACAGGATTTGAAGTATATACTTTAGGAAATGAAGACTGAAAGTTTTCCCCGCTTGTGTGCAGGTGCTATGGTTGTATGAACATAGCTAGTATTTGCATAACAACAACTTTGTGCATTAGAAATAGATTCAGTAAGTTTATTGCTGTATTTAATGATAAAGCTTTTACTTAGGTGTCAGCAAAGCAGAACTGCACACCTGAAGGTTGGCAAGTCGCCTGGCCAGGGTTTGGCTTGTGGCCGTGTCGTGGCAATCTGCCTGCCTGCTGGACATGCATTTCAGTTCTGTCTCCTTAAACTTTCTCAGCCCCAAACTCTTCCAAGATAAATTTTGAAAATGGCTAACATCTTCTGGTCACGTGATGAATCCCTCATCTCCCAGTGCTTGGCCTGGCTGCGGATGGGAGGAGGAAAAGAAGGGAAAATGGGAACACTGGTGATGAATGGGGAGAAGGACCAGAGAAGCCTTCCCAAATTGTGTGCAGGCGATGACAGCTGATATGTCGGGCTGTCGTAAACTCAGGAGACTTTCACCTCTGCTGAAGACTGCAGAGAAGAAACAAAATAATGCTGCTCATTAGCTACTCTGTGCGTATCATAGGTGCATTATGCATCTATTAGTTGTTCTATGGGCATTTGACAAAGACTTGGGTTGTGAGTCCTAGGGAATCACCTGCTGCCTTTTCAAGAAGCTTCCAGGTGTTGGGTCTGTTTTTTTGCCAACTGAACTTGTCCTCTTCGTTGCACTGTCTCCCTCAGTAGCATTGCTGTATTGGTACAAAAAATGGTATCCATGTGGTAGCCACGAAGAGTTAGGGGCAGTGAAGTGTAGCAGAAGTTGAACTGTTATGCTGTGAATTGAGTGATGCTTCTGAGTAAAATGTTTCATGCCTTGAGACTTGCAGATACACAAGTAAGTCTCAAGAGATGCATTAATATGCAGCAGTAATTTGTAATGTAATTCAACTAAGCATTGACAAATCCATTTGATACAGGCCTGATAAGATTTTATTTTTCTTTTCTGATTTTGAATGCTGTATGCACCAAAACTTACGTGTCAAGATAAATGCATAGAAGTTATTTCCTTTTCCAACCCCCATTTATCATCACTGCCTAAAAGAATAGGAGACTGTTATATTTCCCTGGATCCTACAGTCTTACTTTGTTTTATTGTGACATCTGTCGCACAAGAAGTTTTATCCTCTTAAGCATCTAACAAAGAACTGCCATTTCGTGATGAGGACTTAATCTTTGATCGTGGCATATTTTAACCAAGGAGTGTCAGTTAGGCATTGTATTTCTTCAAAACTGAAGAACTGTTAGAGATGTTTACTACTAAACAGAACTTTGGGGAAAAGAAATGTAATTTTTTGTGTCATGAGGAATATCATGGTGCAAGTAGGAACAGCTTCAAAAGAATTAGAAAGGGATAGAAGTAGAAAGGAAAAGAAATACAAAACTTCAATAAATAGAGAATGTGCAGCTCCATTTGTTGCAACCTGTATAGTTTATGGTTTTCCAAAATGACAGCCACCTTGTTTATAGAACCTTCATAAAAGGCACTGCAGTTAGAATTGCAGTGCTTTGAGGAATTGTGACCGAATTATAAGCTTGAATATGAGGACGTAGATTCACTAGTGTCAGCTAATTTTCACTATTTCTAACAAGTAAAAAGTTCTATTTTCAAGCAATGTTGTGTGACAGTGAGTACAGTGTCCAGTTCATTTTAGGTTGTCATCAGGAGTCATCGTCATGAGGTGCTTGTTCATGTCTTTGGAATCGCACGAAGATCAAATGCAAACAAAACAATGGCCTAAATATACATTAAAGGAACTGGAAAAAACTTCTAACTGTTTAATGGAAGTGCATGAGTCAGAGTAATGAGTCCTCATAACCACTCAGGAAACTTGAGGTGGTAGCTTTTCTTCCAGTTTTGAAAAATAAGCTCATAAAGAGAAGCATTTAGGAAATTCGTCAAATTATATGTGCGTGTGTGTGTGGATAGGGGTGTGTGTGTATATATATATGTAAAAATGATGTTGGAAGAAGAAAGCCTTTACTTCTTGAATCCTGTCTTAAACATGGGTAAATACAAGGCTGCTTGGTTGTTTGGTTGGTTGCTTTTGTTTGCTTTTAGCAGAGCAAGTCATGATGATGAGGTTATGCATGAAAGTGTAGATCATGG